AAATTCATGACTCGAGTCTGACTCGAGTCCAAGTCACATGACTCGAGTCCACACCAGCTCAGAGGTGGGACAAAGTCATTGTTATGCAAGTCCAAGTCGAGTCTGAAGTCATCAAATTCATGACTCGAGTCTGACTCGAGTCCAAGTCACATGACTCGAGTCCACACCAGCTCAGAGGTGGGACAAAGTCATTGTTATGCAAGTCCAAGTCGAGTCTGAAGTCATCAAATTCATGACTCGAGTCTGACTCGAGTCCAAGTCACATGACTCGAGTCCACACCAGCTCAGAGGTGGGACAAAGTCATTGTTATGCAAGTCCAAGTCGAGTCTGAAGTCATCAAATTCATGACTCGAGTCTGACTCGAGTCCAAGTCACATGACTCGAGTCCACACCAGCTCAGAGGTGGGACAAAGTCATTGTTATGCAAGTCCAAGTCGAGTCTGAAGTCATCAAATTCATGACTCGAGTCTGACTCGAGTCCAAGTCACATGACTCGAGTCCACACCAGCTCAGAGGTGGGACAAAGTCATTGTTATGCAAGTCCAAGTCGAGTCTGAAGTCATCAAATTCATGACTCGAGTCTGACTCGAGTCCAAGTCACATGACTCGAGTCCACACCAGCTCAGAGGTGGGACAAAGTCATTGTTATGCAAGTCCAAGTCGAGTCTGAAGTCATCAAATTCATGACTCGAGTCTGACTCGAGTCCAAGTCACATGACTCGAGTCCACACCAGCTCAGAGGTGGGACAAAGTCATTGTTATGCAAGTCCAAGTCGAGTCTGAAGTCATCAAATTCATGACTCGAGTCTGACTCGAGTCCAAGTCACATGACTCGAGTCCACACCAGCTCAGAGGTGGGACAAAGTCATTGTTATGCAAGTCCAAGTCGAGTCTGAAGTCATCAAATTCATGACTCGAGTCTGACTCGAGTCCAAGTCACATGACTCGAGTCCACACCAGCTCAGAGGTGGGACAAAGTCATTGTTATGCAAGTCCAAGTCGAGTCTGAAGTCATCAAATTCATGACTCGAGTCTGACTCGAGTCCAAGTCACATGACTCGAGTCCACACCAGCTCAGAGGTGGGACAAAGTCATTGTTATGCAAGTCCAAGTCGAGTCTGAAGTCATCAAATTCATGACTCGAGTCTGACTCGAGTCCAAGTCACATGACTCGAGTCCACACCAGCTCAGAGGTGGGACAAAGTCATTGTTATGCAAGTCCAAGTCGAGTCTGAAGTCATCAAATTCATGACTCGAGTCTGACTCGAGTCCAAGTCACATGACTCGAGTCCACACCAGCTCAGAGGTGGGACAAAGTCATTGTTATGCAAGTCCAAGTCGAGTCTGAAGTCATCAAATTCATGACTCGAGTCTGACTCGAGTCCAAGTCACATGACTCGAGTCCACACCAGCTCAGAGGTGGGACAAAGTCATTGTTATGCAAGTCCAAGTCGAGTCTGAAGTCATCAAATTCATGACTCGAGTCTGACTCGAGTCCAAGTCACATGACTCGAGTCCACACCAGCTCAGAGGTGGGACCAAGTCATTGTTATGCAAGTCCAAGTCGAGTCTGAAGTCATCAAATTCATGACTCGAGTCTGACTCGAGTCCAAGTCACATGACTCGAGTCCACACCAGCTCAGAGGTGGGACAAAGTCATTGTTATGCAAGTCCAAGTCGAGTCTGAAGTCATCAAATTCATGACTCGAGTCTGACTCGAGTCCAAGTCACATGACTCGAGTCCACACCAGCTCAGAGGTGGGACAAAGTCATTGTTATGCAAGTCCAAGTCGAGTCTGAAGTCATCAAATTCATGACTCGAGTCTGACTCGAGTCCAAGTCACATGACTCGAGTCCACACCAGCTCAGAGGTGGGACAAAGTCATTGTTATGCAAGTCCAAGTCGAGTCTGAAGTCATCAAATTCATGACTCGAGTCTGACTCGAGTCCAAGTCACATGACTCGAGTCCACACCAGCTCAGAGGTGGGACAAAGTCATTGTTATGCAAGTCCAAGTCGAGTCTGAAGTCATCAAATTCATGACTCGAGTCTGACTCGAGTCCAAGTCACATGACTCGAGTCCACACCAGCTCAGAGGTGGGACAAAGTCATTGTTATGCAAGTCCAAGTCGAGTCTGAAGTCATCAAATTCATGACTCGAGTCTGACTCGAGTCCAAGTCACATGACTCGAGTCCACACCAGCTCAGAGGTGGGACAAAGTCATTGTTATGCAAGTCCAAGTCGAGTCTGAAGTCATCAAATTCATGACTCGAGTCTGACTCGAGTCCAAGTCACATGACTCGAGTCCACACCAGCTCAGAGGTGGGACAAAGTCATTGTTATGCAAGTCCAAGTCGAGTCTGAAGTCATCAAATTCATGACTCGAGTCTGACTCGAGTCCAAGTCACATGACTCGAGTCCACACCAGCTCAGAGGTGGGACAAAGTCATTGTTATGCAAGTCCAAGTCGAGTCTGAAGTCATCAAATTCATGACTCG